TGGTTGACAGAGCCGCGGCAGACTTTCAGAGGATGGACTCCAATTTGGAAAGAAGTTCCACTGTGAGTAAAAAGCTACCAAACTACATCATGTGCTACAGAGAAATCTTGAGACGGGAAGGTTAAACCAGGCAGCAAAGGTCACTGTCGTTGAGTTTTAGGAAATGCCGCAGCCGCCCCAGCCTTCAGCAAGCACCACCCTGACCAGTCAGCACCATCAACGCTGAGACAAGACCCCTCTCCAGCAGAAAGAGCCCGACTTGCTGAAGGCTCAACTCACTGTGAGCATTTTTAGTGATCTAATTTTTTTTAATTAAGGTATGTAACACTTGTTTTGTTAGAGATGATGCTACTGCACGCGGAACAGACCCCCGCGGAGGGTACTAATAACTTTCACACGCGCAGTGGCCTGGAGCTGAACCTGCAAGATCTCCGAGGGGCGTGACAATCACTGAGAAAATGGAACAGGACTCTTCGGGTCCCTGGTGCATCAGGGTCAATACGCCCTGTGTTCAGATCTTCCCGTTACTAGTGGATTTGCCTGAGTCAGACGTTTACACTGAAAGGGGACATCATTTAATCCTCATAACCAGGAACAAAGTTTAGAAGATTAAATTGTATTTCCAAAGAAGCAAAGTCTAACCTCGTAGTGTTTAAAAATAAAACTAAAGAAACAAAGCACAGGGAACGATGGTGCTGGGGGGAGCGACGCCTGGCACGGGGCCGTGGATATCACATGTGGCTGCTTCTCTCTAGGAAAAAGATGCAGAAGCTAAGAAAAAGCAGTGTCCCTTCATCTCAGACCAGGGCTTCAGAGAGCAGGTACAAAAGAAAACCCTCAGAAGGATAACAAAGCACTCTAAACAAAGATCCGCACCTGAGCATAAATCCACAAGCAAAAAACCATCTTACAACAAGCTCCTGCGCCTGACTGGTGGGACGGTCACTCTGTCCCGGGCAGTTGGACTCAGAGACGTGCAGACTGTCAACCCTGAGCACACAGACCAGGTCATCGAAGGGGAGTCACCAGGTGAGTAACTTGAGGGCCATCTGTCAGCCTGAGACACCAACTCTAGCGACTCTCCCGTCCGGGCCTCTCCCAGTGGGTGCTCCACCTGCTCCCATCCACCGTCCTTGGTTCCAACATCACAGGCAGGAGCCCCACCTGCTCCAGAAGCCCACTGCCCCTCCCTGTGCTACACTTTCTCTGTCAGCCTGGACCCCTCTGGGGCCTCAGAGCACCACCTCTGTCCCCCCACCTGCTGGGCCACCTCCTTCCTCACAAGGGTCACCCCAGTGGCCCCACATTGAGCTCAGCTGTGTGCCTCTCAGACACAGGCAGCATCACTCCTTGTGGGCCCCGGTCCCTTCTCAACCCAGTCATTCCACAGCTACAGGCTCGGGACCTGCCTCTTCCCTGGGACACAGGGAGGAGCTCGCCATGGTCTGGCCCTGCTTCCTTCTCAGGACATGCCCTGTCTGCCAGCGTCCCCTTC